AGTAGCAGTAGAAGCAGTAGTAGTAGCAATAGTAGTAGTAGTAGTAGTAGTAGTACTACTACTACTACTACTGCTACTACTACTGATGACCCCTGAATTGTATACCCGTGGATTTAGCCGCTGCTACACCGCGCATTCTCGAGGAACCTAGTGCTGTTTGTCGAGCGTAAAGATATAGATGTGTAGTTCTCTGAGCCCTTTGCCATGGAAAACCTAAGCATCTTTCCATTCGACCTATCTTTCCAGGCTATATACCCTGTATAATGCAAAATATATACTTGTTTGTAAATACATAGTAAAAACTAAGGTCACGGGCTTTTGGGAACCTGGAAGGGTTGCGGGTTTGCCAGACATCATTCATGCTTGAAGCTTCGGGTTCGGGATCTAACGGGGTACTCCGCCCTCAGCCCATGCCCCAGAAGGATTTGATATACGGCAGATCCAAAGCCTGCTCTGAGCCCGCGAAAAGAAGATGCTGGACCCTCAACTGTAGAAGCTGGGGGCAAACCTCAGACCCCACAATCTCTACAAGACCTGCTTAGGGCCCTCAGAACTTTGAACACCAAGACCGCACTGACTCCATGTGTGGTTGCACATCTGTTTGGTGGTTACCTATGCTATGTGTTTACGAGTTTGCCACATAACCTATGCGGTTACTTACAAGCCAACTATAAGCATGCATATGCAAAAAAATACAGTGCCCAAGCACACAGACTTGCGATACTTGTAAAGGCACACCGCCTACATGTCTATCAGTACATACACTTAGGTACAAACTCATGTACCTTGGATGTGTGTTTCCATGGGTATAGACATGGCCACACGTATTTACAAGTATGCGTACATAGGAGTGCATATGTATGTGCATGAATGTGTGTATATTTATATACACATATACGTACACATACCATAGATAAACACTCACACAGACATATATATATATACACACACATACATACATACACGTACGACAATGTATATAATATACATTTGTACATAGCTGCACATCTATATACATGCATTACATATGCAGTTCTGCAACATGCAGGAGATGTTGCGGTGTCAAGCTGTTTTCTACATCGTGAGTTTCTACTTGTGTCTGCTGGGACTGTGAATGATACATGGCAAGACATGTATGCCTCTGACTTTTGTGCTTTTAGGTCGCGGGCAAAGCTTTATGCCCTTCCACATTTCACGAACTGGACCTGTGAGTTTCTGAAGTGCATCCTTTGCTGTGGTTTCATCTGACTTTCTGAATGCACACAGGAGAGACAGATGCCACATAGGCGTTAAGTACCATGTTTGAATTCCCAGAAGGTCCCATATCTGCGGTCTTCTGTTGTTCCCCAGGCCGCCTTCCTGGTCGGTGTGGTCTCTGGAGCACAGGGCCTTGAGAGACTGCTTCCATGTTGAGGAACCAATGATCCTTTAACTGCTCACAGCAGCCTTGATGACTGAAAGCCCCCCGAAACAGGACCCTAAACCCTAAACCCTAGACCCTAAACCTTTATCGGAGTGGCCGTGTCGCTGCGGCAGTCGCAGCCAGCTCACTTTGGGCCGCTGGCTCCGGCACAGCGTCCGCTGATGCGTCGGGTGTTCCTTTTTTTGGGTTTAGGAGTTTAGGGTTTTAGGGGTTTAGGGTTTAGGGTTTAGGGGTTTAGGGGTTTAGGGTTTAGGGTTTAGGGGTTTAGGGTTTAGGGGTTTAGGGTTTAGGAGGTTTTGGCTTGGCCGGGATGGGGCTCAGGGAATTTGCGCAGAACCCGAAGCTGGAAAAACCTGTTCGAAGATCTGACCTGCGCCCCATCCCCCCAATTGTGGCACTGCACGACTCTGCAAGCTCTTTGAGCTAAGACCCTGAAACCCTGAAACCCTAAACCGTGAAAGCCTAAATACCTAAACCTTAAACCCCTAAACACATAAACCCTAAAACCCTAAACCCTAAACCCCTAAACCCTAAACCCTACACCCTGAAACCCTAAACCCCTGAAACCCTAAACCCTTTTGAGCTCAGACTGTCGCTTCGCAACCTGGGGTGACGCTCTTGACTTGGGCTGAAAAGCTGTAAGGTTGCTCCACAGAGATGCCGGCACTTTTGACATTATATTGCAGTATATGAAAATACATGTTAGACTATTCCGCCATGTTCTATTAGGATATATTCCAGCACATTGCATTATGCTTATGTTGCTTGGACCATCGCTAAACCGCAGGGTCCTGCGCCAGATTCGCCCGCAGCCCGAATTCTCCGATTCCAGCTGTCCACCACCCCCTGCCAAACCGGCAGGTCCATGGCCTGCGATTGGATCTTGACTCAGGCTTTAAGGGGAATATATACTACCAAAGAACATACTATATAATACATCATATAATATAATATGTGCATATATAGCACAATACTTTAAGGGCCGGCACGATCCGGTCTTGGGTTCCGGGTTGAGGGCCTCAATATCGGTGCGAGTTGTTGAGGGCGGCTGCGTCCACAATGTAAGCCTTCCGAAGAGCTCTCTCATGCATCTGGGGCAAGTCTAGCGGCAATCCGAATGACCGAGGCTTTATTTTCACAGGAACCGGAGGACTCTAGGATAGACGCATGTCATGGGCTTTTGAGGCCACAGACTTGAGACAAGGAACCGCGGGGTCAAGAGTCAAGCAGGACGGAAGCATGGCAGCTACATGTTGGAGTTTCAGAGTATCTGGAACCCGAATGACATAAGTAGTAGGATCCGTCTGGAACCCTTAAACGAGGGACCCCTTGTTTCAAGAAGCCCCATAGCCATATGTACCATGTGGGGCGCTGAGATAGCCTTGAAGTCCACAGGCACACTGAGCCCCAAGAGGATATTCCTAATCACCCCGGTGCTTCGACGCAAAACCTGAGTCCTATTGCATAGCCCAAGCAGAGCGGCAGAGCAATGCAGCAATGCACCCTAAGGGCATTTAGGTGTTGGTGTACAGGGCTTCTGCATAGCTTTGGGCTTCCAGGTTTTGGAATATAGTGTACGTGGTCAGCATTTATCGATTAGGGCGAAGGGTCCGTCCCCTAGGCAGCTTTAACACAACAAGGATAACGATTCCTTCCGATTCCACCCCTCCCCAATCGACGCTGCCAACCACTATCTAAGCCTGTAGGCAGAACAACCTGTCTGCCACCCAATACGCGGCAAGTACTATGATCATGAACCTCCGGCACCGCCCTCAAGTCTGACAATGGGGACTCCTTCAAGCCCATGTACGAGTGCCGCTCGTGGCTTCACTATCAGCTGACAAAAGGGCATGGTTCCTTAACAAGGACCGATCTCGGCCATCCAATGCTCGCTTCAGGACTGACTACTGAAACCCCGTCAGATGCGGAAAACTGAGCCCTAAACCCTGAATTCCCTAAAGCCCAAACCCGAAACCCGCCTGGACATGTTCATCAAAGAGCTCTTGAGGGGCGACGGCGTATGTGCGGGGCGCTTTTCCGGGAGGCTTCTGGGCTCGGCGCAGCATCTCCTGCAAAGTTTTGAAACTTGGGTACTCCCGAGTTTTTGGGGCTACTGGGGTTGAGGTCAAGGTTTGCGGAGCAACTGATCAAGAGCTGTGTGCATGTGCTCAGACTAGGATCTATGCAGAAAAGATAATGTCCAAAGACGAACAGTCTCGGGATAAGAAAGAAGAGTCCTGCGGGAAGCTGTTGAGAAAGGCACAACGCAGTAGCTGACAGTGATGGAACAGCACCAGGAGTCGAAGAGTTAGTAGAAGGGGTTGCGGGGTCAGTGTCAAAGTTACAACTAAGGTACTGCAGAGGTTATACTCCAGGGTTAGATGCAGCTGGAACACTATTGTAGAGCAGATGGTCTAGGTTGTGACTACAGGGTTTTGTCACGACACTGTTGGCAAGCTCAAAAACTCCGCCTTGGTACACAGGCCCCGGAATAGAGACTCCCATGTGGAAGTACCTGAACATGCTTTGATCCTTAGCACTGCAAGCCTTGCAAGCGATTGGTGTGACAAGCCTTGCATTTCGAGAGGCATAGGGGCAGGGGAGAAGCTCAACTTAGCCCCACTGCGTGTCTTGGTCCTCGGACTTTACCTGCGCAAGATCCGATAATGTCAGCTGGTTGACTCAGTCCTAGCCACAAGAGGCACCAACTCAGAAGCATGACCGTTAACGGCAGCTTGCAGGCAACCCTGCCTAAAGCTTCTAGCCTGAAGCCCCGAGCCCTCAATCCACACCAAAACCCAAAAACGCCCAAACCTCAATTGGCCCTGCCCAGGAAACTATGAAGTCTACACCCCGGAAAACCGTAAAGGAAAAAGGGCTCCTTGGCACAGCAGTTGGCGTCGTAGCCCTGCTGATCCCGCCTGGCGAGAGCTCTACAGCTCAACGCTTGAAGACATGGCTTTACCTACTGGGTGGTTTGCTGCCCTTATGCCTTCGATGTGGGGTCTGAGGTAATGTAGGGGCCTAAATAATTACCTACACTATTTTGGGGGCTCCTTATTATAATTGTAGTATAATGGGCCCCATTATTAAGGCCCCTATATTATCCGGTTTGGGCTGCTCTTAAAGGGCTTCGGGTCCATGGAAATCCAAGGTCAGACTCCTCCAGCCTAGTCTGCGGCTTCGGCATACGCTGCCTCAAGTTCCAGAAGATCATCAAGAAATAGACCCTATACCCTAAACCCTAAACCCCTAAACCCCAAACCCTATACCCTGAACCCTGAACTCCATAGAACGCTGCACAAGGCCATGCCAAGAGCTTCGGGCATTACCTTCCATCATAATTGCTCCCGATGCGACCCAGAGAGCCCAATACCCCTTAATTAAGCAATATGCCTTAAATTATTGGGGCCTTCATATTATGATTTAAAGTATATTCCTTAATTACAGGGTATTGGGCTCTCTGGGTACTCCCGATGCGACGGGGTGCCCGCCACCTTCAACACCCCGAGGTCCTAAACTCAAGCCGACAAAAAGCCTGGATCCCGAGAGTAGAGAAGCACCGAATCCCGAAAGCACGATGAAGCACAACCCTGAAGCTTGAACCCCAAAACCAAACCCCCCAAAACCCCGGAACCCGAAACTCCTTGACTTTCCCAAACCCTTTCTAGGCCTTCTCCCGGCCCTGACTTCTTTGACGCGGCTGTGGCTGGCTCCAGCCGTGGACGGCAGCCCGAGCGGAGCCCTTGGCCCCATCAGAAGGACCTTGTCTGGGTGGCTGGTTTGGGATTGTTCGGGAGTGCGCTCTGGGCGGTCTTGGTACTAGAGCTTAGTAGGTGCTGGGCCTTCGTTTGGGGTGCCAGGGTGAGAACTATGCGTGCAGGTCAAAGACAATCCAGCTCATGGATAAGGAAACCCTAAACCCTAAACCCGGATTAGATACTCGGCTCTCGAACTTAGTGGACACCCTGCAAGTTGGGTCCCAGCCTCCAAAACTTTATGGCAGGTGTGCTGCGTTCCTCTTACACCGGCTAAGATGTGAGTTCACCAACTAATAACTAGTACATCTGCCGATGCAGCATCATATGAATTACATTGGCCATGCATCTACGACGAGCCGAAATGCCAACTTTGACGCAAAATCGTCGTAAGAGCCTAATCGCCGGATTGGTGTCTCTGCCCCTTGTCAGCGGCTGCTGTGCTTTTTTGGGGCTTTGCCGAACCTTAACCAATATGGCCGCAATGACCACAAAGGGACTTCGGATTACTGTATCGAATATCGTACTATAGTTACTTCAGGAGGGTAGCAGAAGGATGTTTACACCAGCAAACACCTTCGATCAAACTCTGAAGGTACGCACAATTCTAAACATTCTGATATCCCATCCCTCTAGCCGTCCCTGGGCCCCATCCAGCTTTTGGTCTTGGTTGTTGGTCTTTGGAGCCTTTTTTTTTACAGAGCTTAGGATTTTTAGGGAAAAGAGGGCCGCATTCTTAAAGCTTCTGCGACTCAGAAGCATTCTCCAGGCCGGGACCTACCGGAAGTCGTAGCTTCTTCGTGATTGTCCTGGCATCATCTGCTGTGCTTTGCAAGGCATACGATTATTAACAGCACTACAATCAGGAGCGCAAGTGGTACTACTTATAAGAGGCGAGGCTCAAACATGAATAGATAATGATGGCAATAATGACAAGTTGTTGCAGTTACTGTTGTTGTCCTAGCTCTTGCTGCGATGACCAACAGCACGATGATGAAATCATGACCTACAGAGGTGGCCGATCTACACGCACGACAGTTCGTGTCAAGCCCCGAATTTCCTGCGTTCCGGCACCGGCTTCTTCGGCACGTCGAGGACCCAGGGCTGTTCCGGCTCTGTCTTGGGGCGCACGATGGGTGTTGGCGTCCTGGGCCGTCGGTTCTAGGATTCCATGGCCTTTGGGATGGGAGGCCTTCCGAACAGCTAGGCACCGCGCCAAAGCTCACCGAGCTTCACGAACAGATCCAACCGTGGCTGCGGCGTCGGCTCCGGCATGGGTTCAGCCACATCCTCGAGGGAGACGTTGCTCACCACGCTGGCATCATCCGGACAGGTCAGGAAGGTTGCTGGAATCTGAAATCCCTCAGCCATCTCAGCCTCAGCCTCGGCAGAAGCTGACGGAGCGTCGCTTCTTTCGCCTGCGTCTGCAACATCCGGATGCGGATAGTCTTGTTGCATCACATCGTCAGAGGCACTCGACACGGCGGCGGTTTTGTGAGCAGCCTGCAGGACCTCCTCCACCCACGCGCTCCCTTCACTCACAACGTGTGGCGAACTCTTCTCAATGTCTGGCGCGCTGCCTTCGCGACCGAGCAGGTCGTTGGACTTCGAGCTGCCTCGTGCGCTGTTGGGCCTCTCCCTGACCGGCAGTTCGGAGGTCCCCATGGAAGCCTCCAAGCCTTGACTCTCCTTTGCCAGCGCACTCTGCAGAGTTTCATCTTCGGTGAACTCCCCAGTGTCGCAGGGTGAGCCCACCGGGGACGATCGCACATCCTCTGGCCTTAGAAGCTCCCTTAGAACATGCATGCAGGTCTTCCAGCTCTTGGTCACAGGCTTGGACAGGAGTGCCTCGGAAGCAGTGGCCTGCGCGAAGCGCGCGCACTCCGTGCAAAGGAAGACGTTTCCGCGGCCTTTGGCAGCGCAGCTGCGACACTTCCACCAGGGCTCGAAAGGCGCTTCCTGGCCTGCAGCCCTTAGCAACTCCTCGGCAGTTCGCTCGCAACGGTGGCAGATGGGGCTGTCGTCAGCCACGGCCAGGCTGGGTAGCGGTACACGATCCATGCTATGGCCCAGGGAGCAACGGGCGTTGGTCCCAACCCCAAGGTTTGTGAAGGCTTTCAGCAGGCTCTGCACAAGGCGGCTGTGCAAGGTCTCGAGGCCTCAGCTGGAACAAACCGGGTCGCGATAGTTTCCAATTCCAGTGCATGCTGCACCGTCTCTGACAGCGCCTCCCTGGACTTAACTCATGCCGCCGAAGCTTATAATTAGGGTTTAGGGTTTAGGGTTTAGGGCTTAGGATAGCTCTTTCTTTCAAAGTTCGAGAAAGAAGGCCTCTATGCCAAACTGCCAAGACACCGACTGCCTGCTGCAGGAGGTGCCTCGTGGCCGTGAGCGACACGCTGCTGCCGCGCCAAGCGGCTTCCTAAGCGGCTTCTTGCAGGATCATAAGGTTACCCTGGGTTATCAGGGGTTCGGGGGCTAGTTTGAGAGCCTGAGACGCCTCGAACCCTTTGCTCCTATCTGAGGCTTGGCCTCAAACCCATCCAACCCCAAAGCCCAAAACTCTGAAGTCCTTCTGCAAAATCTAAAAGATCACGAGGTCCCGAAGTCCATTTCAAGCCGTAAAGCCTCACAGCATGGTACCCAGGCCTCCCGAACCTTCCACTGCGAGGACTTGGGGGTTGGGGTCTTCGGCCAGCTACGGCTTAGGCTGAGAGCACTTGGGGGTAGTTAGGTTTAGGGCCCCTTCTAAGGCTCAGAGAGTTCGAAGCCTGAGTCTTACTGGAAAGGTTGAGTTCAAGCATTCGGACCTGGGGTCTGGGGTGCAGGGAGCTTGCAAAACCTGGGCTGTAGGAGCTTAGGGACGGGAAGGGATGCACTGGCTTCAAGGCAAATCTCTTCCCGAAGCCGCCGGATTGCAATGGGCAGCTTCCGTGCTTGCGTAGCCTCCAGATGCTCACAGGCACGAGCCAAAACGAGGATGGGGGTTGACACGAACCTATCGGTATCTGCATGCCTTCATGAGGCTCAGTCCTCAAATCGGCCTCCCGAGAGTCAACCAGCCTCAACGCCGCATACCCCGTCCCTACCCCTCTCTCTCTCTCGGAGTCTCTGGCGAGTTCCACGATACTGTTTGATCTCTAGGTGAACGTACATATTGCATGAGGCTTTCGGGAGATGCTGGTAATTCGAGGGACACAACATTACAACCTTCTGCCTTCGCTCTGTTGCTGTGTGAGTACAGACCTTCTGTAATGCCTTCTTATACATCTCAATCTTCTGATCAACCAGCCTTCCTCTAGTGACTCTAGTGCAACCGGACATGTCTGCCGCCAAGAACAATGCTCGCTGGGTGCATAGTTGAAGCGGCTGCGTCTTGCTTCTCATGTCGTTACGTCGTTATATCGAAACATCGGTCCCAAGCAGCAAGACTCCAACTCCAGCACCCAAGAGACCCAAGAGAGTATCAACATGCCTATACGAGGGGTTCTGATACTATAACGATATATACAGAACTCTCTAGGGTAGTAGGGAACCTCAAGGAACAGTACAACTATATGCTTCTCTGACTACAAGAGACAGCACCATCACACTGGGCATGGCATGCAGCCCAGTTGCACAAGAGGCGAGCTCGTAGAGTAGAGCATCACAGTGTCCTGCTCGCAGAGTCGGCGTAGGGACTCGTGGGCATGACTTCTTCCAGGTTTCAGGCTTGAGCTGAAAGCCGAGGCAGCTTTCAGGCCTCTGAAGCCTGAAACCTCTGCACCCGAAACCCATATAGCACCCCAAATAATAGGATCCTTATTATAAGGACCCTAAAACTAAGGTACCCGAAACCCTCCAAGCAGATCCTTCCCTCCCTAAGATGCCCCCAGGGCCCCGAAGCCGCTCAAAGTGCAAGCGAAGCACCGAGGCTCCGCAGCATCTGCCGCATGCAGAGATCTCCACCGGAGAGCTCTTTGGCCGCCTCCTGGGAGGGAATTTTACAGTATGGGCTTGGAGTTTGGGGGTTTGGGGTTTAGGGTTCAGGGGTTTTCGGGTTTTGAACGGTTGTGCCAGAATTCTCGGGGTTTTTTCGGGGCTTCTGGGGCTTTTACGGGTTTCACGGGGTGTAGGTTTTATCATTTACCTGGCGGATTCAACCCACCATGAACCAGACCGGCGCAGACCCTTTTGAAGCAAGCTCTGAATGCTCCTATGTGACAGGGAGATGCCTTTGATTATCATGTGCTGGTGTTTTTTGCATGCAACTCCGAACCGCCAAATGTCGAGACATGCAAGGACTCATCCATCACAGGCAGGGTCAACCGTAAGTGACAAAGCATCCACCCTTGACAGTGTAAGGTGGGGCTCATGAATGGGAGCGCCATACATGCAAACAGCATGTTCGAAGGACTAGACAAATTAATGCAACCAGAATTACCAACTTATATATCGGTGTAAATGTAACATAAATGCACACATGAGAGAGCATGTGTCTGTATGTGTGTGTGCGCATGCATATATATA